ATTTTTCTGAAGAAGGGTCTAGGCCCGAAACGTCAGACTTCCTGCTCCTCTGATGCTGCTTGGCCTGCTGTGTTCATCCAGCTCTACACCTTGTTATCTCAGATTCTCCAGCATCTGCAGTTCATACTATCTTGGAATCATTGATGCAAATTGGCAGAACATTAAAATGAACAATTGCAACAACGCTTAACACAGCAATAAAAGGTCTTCTATTGACCTATAACATTGTATCGTGAATTGTTGAAGAAGCATATCTTAAACATCCTAGTTCAGGGAATAATGTTTCTATCACAACCAAAATACACTAAGGAAAGGCAATTAAATCAAAGACAGGAAGGAAAATTGGTATAAAATACAAAACAACGGACAACAGAAAAGAATAATGTTTAATTCTTTATTAAAATGCATTTTGTGCGCTTAGAAGTGTGATTAGTTCAAACTGAGCATAACATCTACAGAAACAGAATTCCCCATCAAAAATAATCTAACTGGAGCCCTGTGGATTGTGACGAGCAAAGATTATACAAATTAAGCCCGTTTTGTCTTGAATTCAGATGGTTAAGGGATGATCAGATTGAAGTCTTCAAGATATTAACAGGAAAAGGCAGGGTAGATACAGATAAACATAAACAATTCCATGGGTTGAGGAATTCTAGGTCTAGGGGGTCTAGTCTCAGACCTAGGGCCAGACCATTCAGGAGAGATGTCAGGAAGCACTCCTACGCAAAAGGGAACACTCTTCCACAATTGGTAGTGAATGCTGGATCAGTTGTTAATTTTAAAATCAGACAGAAATTTTTGTTCAGCAAAAGTATTAAGGGATATGGACCAAAGGCAGGCACAGAGAGTTTGGCCACAGTTCAACCCTGATCTCAGTGAAATGGTGGAACAGGCTCGAGGAGCTGAATGGCCTAATCCTAATAGGATGTTCCCTCCACTTGCATTTAATTAGCCTATGCTTTTAGAAAGGCACTTGTGAAGGTCTTACAGAATAACAACAACTGTTTTGAGTAAATGTTTTAGAAAAGATTAATTTAAGAATGAATGATGAAAATTCTACTAAAAATTGGCAAGCTTAAAACCACCAGCAAATGAACAAAAGTATTTTACACCCTTATTTTCTTCTGAAAGTATGCATAAACCAGAGAATTGGGAGCACAATGACTTAATCACGAGTGTCAAAAAATCAGATTGTTATTGAGGATGAACTATTGAGACTAACGTCTCCTTCCTTAGGCGGCAAGATCAAATGCTTCCCTATAGTCAGAATAATCCTATTTGCATATATTTAATTATAAAACTTGCCACATTAACTTCTCCTTCTCAAATAACTTTTGCCCTGTTGAAAAACTGAATGAATCAAAATCTTGCCTATAAATGCAAGTTGGTACCTGTTCAGTTGTGTTTTCTGCCTAGAGACTGGGTGATGTCATTCATTTTTCTTTCGCTCACTTTAGATGGAACCTCTACGGTGAATAGACATGGTGTTTCCCTGGATCCTCCAGCCAAGCAACAGATTAACCACAATGCATCAACCTCAGAACATCAGGTTGCTTGTTACTGGACAGGCTCAAGCAGCACGCATTCTCTCACAGGTAGTTTTTGCAGGCAGACTCAGGTAGCAATTTCTGGCCAAGAGGCACTGGTTTTGCAGGAAGGGGCAGCTCTGGTTCAGAACTGACTTTTAGCACAAGAGGAAAACACAACCGACCTCTGGTTGAGAGGTACAATTTTAACACTGAGGGAACAACAGTAAGCTTGTGGCTATAAGAAACAGTGAATCATATTTAACAGTTGGGGTGATAGGGAGGGGATGACTTCTGGTATAGAACTTGATCTTCAAGCTTCAGTGCAGCTTTCTGCAAAAGAGAGCCAGTACAAAAATAAGACAAACAGCATCGCGTTATTGTGTTACACCAATGCCAGCTTCTGGACAAGGGTTTGCAGTCACCAGGACCAGGTGGCAATCACAACCTGATAGTCCTAAAAGGTTAGAGCTCCTTTCTTTTTGAAAGGTGAGTCATTTCAAGGAGCAGCTGGACGCCCCTGTGGAATTTCACAGTTCTCTACTCATATGTTCACCTAGGATGTCACAAATGCAATGTTTTTCAGATCTCACCGATGATTTTCTTCCCCCTTGATTTGGTCAGTCAAGCAATGACGGCATTAAGCTTCCCTGCAGGTACAGGGTTCAATGGATTGTACCCATTCAGAATTGAGGCAACCCCATCACCAACCAGCAATGTTCATGAAAAGGATTCCATTTCCTTGCATGTACAACTCATTTGTGAATATAACTACCAGATTTTGCAGGTCTGAGCTAGAAACCCTGGGAACTGCCACACTCATACGTACTGTAGCACTCAGTTGCCAGCCTCCTTCAAGGTCTTCAGCACATGTAAGAATGTTTGATGAGTGACAAGCAGATCATTTCTTGACATGTCTGATGACACCTCTAAGAAGAAAGATGAAACACCGTCTTTTCTTCATAGGGAAAAACCTAGTTGGGTTAAGTCTTTGACAGAGTATTTTGTGATAGACCTGTGGAACATTGGGCTTGATGGTCAAACAGTATATTCTTGCCTGGTGCTGCCTTAGTTACATTATCCCTACACACTATAGCAAGTATAAATATTAAACTTAAATTATTCGATAAAAGAAAATTATGCTACAATGTAGTCGTTGTTGTAATGTAATTGTTAATAAAGTTTGTTTAAAGACTAAAATTGAAACTTTTGCGACTATTCATCTCTGTGAGGTACATATTTTGGATCAATCACAAGGTGCATGCACCAAAAGCTATTACTTTTAGTCAGCTTCATAAAAACACTGCAGACAATAGCTTTTGATTGCAAGCCCAATAAAAATTAACATGTCTCTGCTCTACAGATACTCACCCTAAATGCCAACTTAATTGTTTCCTGCATTTTAGATGGTCTTGATACTACAGATAAGGCAATCACATACTCTCTGATATCAATTGTTCCATTTTCATTCTGAAAGCAGGAATAATTATATTCAGTAAACTGTGACAAAAGTCTATAAACCTCATGAGAACAAATACTATGATTAAATACTTTACTAAAATTAAGTACTTCAGCAAGGTACTTCAAAATAGCATTGATTACATTTCTTACATCTAAAATGTTTTACAGAATGATAAAATAAACTGTAAAGATTTCCTACAAAGATGACAGCAGAGGGTGCTGCATGCTACTCAAACATATCTTGTGGAAAGTCTCAGAAACCAACATATCTACAATAACTACAAATCATGCTTACTCTAAGATCCCTTTGAAAGCTTCATAACACATTGAAAATCTATATTTATTCACAACAATTTCTGTAAAGAGCCTTGCTTTTTTACCATTTGAAGCAGTGACATATGACCCAGCATACTCAATGACCACAACTTTTTAAACTATTATGCTAACTACTTCTAACCAGTTACAATTAATCACTGCACCAACTATTTTCTGATGACTAATGGCAAAAGTACATTTTTGTTTGGAATTTTTCCTTGTATCCAGATTATCTCCACTCTCATTAACTGAGCAGAACAGCAACATTAGAGTACCCAGGCGAAAAGCACAGTAAATCACTAGACAGAGAAAAACAACCCTTACAAATATTCTGATCTTAAGTGGGCTGCTTTCTTGCAAGTCAACAAATCCCAACTTGCATGCGATACATAATTCACTTGAACGTGAGGGAATGCTGTGAACTTTAAGTTACTAACTACAGCCTTAAAGCCAATCTGTCAGATACTGGGCATAAGATATAAGGATTTGATTTGGTTTTTGTGGAGATGGGAAATGAAGACTGAAGAGAACTGGATTCTAATACTTTATAGCAAAGACCTCCTTGACTCTGGATAGTCAAGAGGCTAAATGAACCCTGGAAGATCACTCATAGCTCCTGACACAAGAACTCCATTGGGAATTGGCCAGCAAATTTGAATACTCAATGGACAATTTATCTGCTCTCCGAGACCCTCTGAGAAGTCTTCAAATCTGATTTTGAGAGAGAGACTTCAGATGATTCCAACGCTCAGAAAACGGTAGGCGGGAGAAAACCTTGTGTAACATCTGGGTAACTGTATAACTGTCCATAACCCACACTCCCCTGATGAGTTCCCCAAATTTCAGACTGACCCAACTATCTACCTCTTTTACCCTACCCCTTTACTTACCTTACCCTTCACCCACTGATCTTATGCTCAATATCTGCTCAGTTTCCTTAATGTTTCAAATCTCTAACAAGTTGTCCACACTTTCTTGCCAACTTAAACCACAGTGCTCCCTCTCTCATCCTACCCTTACCCCCAACCACCCTAACTCCCTCACCACATTGCAACCTTTCACACTTAACTTCCCTCTGTAGGTTTTCAAACAACCTTTGGACATTTAAAATAGAATATGGCAGTTAATACCACAAAAATATCATATGGTTTATTTCTCACAATCCAGTGCTGAAGCAGCAGTTCTATTTGAGTCCATTTCTGATAAAGCCAGAGTTGGGGAAGCCTGGTCAGAACTGTGGAGCTCCATTTTGGCAGAGAAAAATAGCACAGTGACTGTTCGATGGTGATAGCCACTCTTTAGGAGAGTAGGCCCTATATTCTCTTTTACTGACCTTACCAGTGGAAGATTTTCATGACCTGGTTGTTCAGGAAAATGAAATGAAAAGTAACTCAACTTATTGCATGTCATTCTACTGTGACTCGATCAGACACTTTTCTACATGACATGTATATATATAACTAGTTTCTAACAAGTACAGAAGGGAAGTCTAGAGTGATTCAGCTACTGTCTTTTTCCTCTGTGGGAACCAAACTTGACATTTCAGAGCTCAGATTTCAACATCCTTGGTCCAAATGTAAATGAAAGAGATGAACTCAAGAGGGGATGGAGGATAACTGCTCATGATAGCAAGGCAATACGTAGTTTCAGGAGCCCTATGAAAACCGGAGTCAATAGGAATTAAAGGGGAAAAGGCTCCATTGTTTGGAGTCATACATTGCACAAAAAGGTAATTTGGGTTATTGGAGGTTAATTATCTCAGCCACAGGGAATCACTGCATGAGTTCCTCAGGATAGCTTCCTGGACCTAACCAAATTAACAGCGGCTACAAAAAGGTGGGTTTGACTGCTGATGATTATATAATATTCAGCACCATTTGTTACTCTACAGATACTGAAGCAATCCTTGTCTAAATGAAGCAAGACCTGGATAATATTCAGGCTTGTGCTGATCAGTGGCAGTAACATTTGCATCACAAGTGCAGAGCAGTGACCATCTCCAATAAGAGAATCCAACAGTCACCCCTTTGAATTTAATCATATACATTCGCTTAAGCCTCAACATCAACATCCCGGGATTAATTTCAACCAGAAACTGAACTGCAGCAGACATATAAAATACAAAAGCAGATCAAAGACTGGGAATTCTGCACTAACTTAACTTCAGACTCTTGAAACTAATCCATCATCTACAGGGATAAGTCAGGCACGTGATAGAATACTCTCCACTTGCCTGGACAATGCAGCTCCAACAACATACAATAAGCTTGACACCATCCAGGATAGAGCAGCCCAATTCATTGGCAGCCTATCTAACACTCTTCACATTCACTCCTTCCACCACCAATGCAACATGACAGCACTGTGTACCATCTACAAGATGCACTGCAACAACTCACTCCTTAAGCAGCATCTTCCAAACATAGCTAGAAGGACAAGGGCAACAGATGCATGGGAACACCACCACGTTTCCCTCCAACGCATCCCACTATCTCATGCTGCCATTCCTTTACTGTCTTGGGAACAAAATCCCTACACCCCCCCCCCCCCCCCATTACACATGGTTCTAGTTACATCACATGGACTGCTGCAGTTCAAGGCAGCTCAGAACAACCTTAAGGGCAATTACGAACGGACAATATTAGCCTAGCCAGCAATGTCCATAAATTTAAAAAAAATCTGGACATGTGGGGAAATATTGGCTGCACAACTTCGGCAGTGGATCAATCTTTGAAAAAAAATGAAAATTCTACAAATTATGGAAACAGCAAAATTGATCTTTAAATAATTAGTAAGCAAATTCCATTGTATCTCTTAGTTGTTCTTCACTAATAAAGAGAAATTATACACAATAGGCAAAATGTAGATGGTTAACACAAGTCAATTACAAAATGAAACAGCACAGGAGAAGACCATTCAGTCAATCGTGCCTTTTGTTGGCTCTTCGATAGAGCCATTTCTTCCCTTATTAGTCCTTTGGGAAAAAGGATGACTTTCTTCCACTCAGGAGTTTAGAATCCTGAGGTAACTAAAGTTCTGATGCTGGATCCATATACCCTATCAAAGAGGGGAAAGTGATGCTCATTAGGTTATTAATGCACTCCTGCTTTTGGCATTTGTACTCCACCTGTGCGTGGAGGCAATCCTCAAAACGCTAGGCCTCTTTGCAGTTGTTTCTACTCCAGTTTGAGCAGTCTTGGGCAAAAGATTCCCACAACTTGGTAGGGATATTGCACCTTTTCAGGGAGGCTTTGACAACCTCTTGAAACGTTATCCATACCCTCCTGGTAACAGCTTGCCATGACAAAGCTTGGAGTAGAGAGCTTGTTTTGGACGTACTGGGTCAGGCATGCAACAATGTGGCTCCCTTGTACATTTGACTGACTTTAAGCACTGCTTTGGTCTTTGGATCTTACTTTTCAACCATAAAGAAAACCAGCTCACCTTCTCTGGTCTGCACGTGTAATTCCAATCATTGGCATCATTCTAGTGAAATTCTTCTGCGTCTTCTTAAATTTTGACAGTGCATCAACTGATGACTAATTTGATTTTATTTCTTTTTAATAGCTTTCTCAACTTGTCCTGAATATTCTATGTAGATTCATCCTTGGGCTCTGTATCCTGCAACCCCTTTAAAATTCTTGCAATATAGAATGTGTATTGTTTCATTCTTCCCTGTAAAACTTCATAATTCTGTGTTAAGTCAAAACTTTTTGATTTGGAAAGAGCAGTGGTGCTAATGTGAACTTCTGGGCAACACTGCATTTTTTCTCCAAACTGAAGAGCAACTGTTAACATCTAACCACACATACCTCTTCATATCATTTTATTTTTTCTTGCATGCTGTCAGTGTCCTTAATCCCTTAGGGTTAATGTTTCCTAATCTGTCAAAATGCCATTTCAAAAAAAAATATAACGTACATCATCAATTGGACAAGCCACATCAACTCTCTCCATTACTTCAAAAGAAGTTTAGCAGACCACTCAAACACACTTGGTCTTTAACAAATCTGAGCTGCCTTTCATTTCTTTACCATACCTTTCTAGGTGTTAATTAGATTTGGCCTTAAAGTTTTCCCAACATCAACCTTCCACTGACCAGTGATGGCCAGGTTTGTCTCTTACTTGCTTTGCTTTTTTTGCAAGACAGAATGAAAAACTTACAATTCTTTCATCCTGACATTGACCAGATAGCTACAGAAAGATTATGAAAGGTTACAGCACAAGCCTTCATAATTTGCACCCTTACTACCCTCAGTATTTCAGGATGGATACCATGCTGATTGGGTGACCTTTTTTCATTGAGAGGAGCCAATCTTTTATTACAGCTTCTACTTTAATCCTATCAAGTATCAATACTGCCTCATACTTTACTGTCACTTCTCTAGCAAAGTGAGATTAACAGTAATTATTTGTTTGTGAAGCATTCCACCTGCTTCTTCAAGATAATCTCCTTTGTGGTTGCTAATCTGTCAACTCATCCTTTGACGACCTTGTAACTTTTCATGTTTTGATTTTTGGGTTTCCTTTTATAATTAGATGATAGTATGTTCTCAATTTCTGCATCCCCATTTCATTTAATAAAACATGGAAGTTTATATATTAATTTTGCCTTATCTACTGTAGTGTTAGCTTTGCAATAGCCGCAAAGGTCTATTTTCTGTCTCATTGTAATGTTTAGTTATCTTGTGTGCTCAGGTTTTGGATGCTTGTGTTTCACGGGAATGCCCCTCCTCTGCCTCTGAACCACACCCCCCACTGTACCTCTTTGAAAGCTCCCCATTATTACATTACTTTCGTGTTCACCAATGTTTGATTCTAATTCATTCGGGTCAATTCCTTTTTATACCACTGAAGCCAGCCTTCTCCAAAAGGATTCTAAGACTCATGATATCCTGTTAACTGGTTCCCAAAATTTTGCATTTTTTTCTGTTTCCACTTGTGCATTCATGATCCTTTGTGGTCAGTGATTTGTTATTATTTATCCCCCTTTACAGATTCCTTAGTGCTACCAAAATAAAACCCAAATTGGATTACCTAGAAGGGAAAAAGTCGAGACAAAAATAGATGGCAAGTGGAAGATGAGATTACACCATCTGAAATTGGTGTCACTTGTATCCTCATACCTGGGAGGAATAGCAAGCAAGTGAATTTGTAGAAATTCACAATTTTGAAAGCAGATTGCAACATCAAACTGAATGCTATAGATTATTTATGGGAAACCCCAAACAACAACAAGCAATGATGACTCCTTAGAAACGCATCAGCTCCAGGATGTCATTCAGTGTCAATGTGGCCAGTCATATTGGCAGTTGCTAACACGAATGTTTTTTCCAATGTCACTGCATGAACACAAAAGTAAAATGTATGAAGTCACATCTACCAACAAGATGCCTGCAATCGCATCTGCAGATATTACTATCTTTATATAGCATCGACTATGACTGACTGCTTTTACAGTGTCCAGATGAACAGAAGAGAGGGCGCGGTTAGGAGAACTGGAGTTAATGCATAACTGAACTCAGACACAGCCAGCAACAACTGCTAGCTACTTTCACCAGCTTGCCTCTATGGCGCACACACTTCCTGTTGGCCAGTTAGAACCAGCATCATTCAAATGGGAGTAGAATGCCAAACGTCACTCTTTCTCCAAGGCCATGAAGCAGTACCTGGGTTTGGTAAAAGGCAAGGGGTCATGAAATAAATATTCTGCTTTTTCATAAAAACAATATATTCAATAGAGTCAGAGTTGTACACTACATAAACACAGTCTCTTTGGTCCAACTCGTCCATGTCAACCAGATATCCTAAATTAATCTAGTCCCATGTGCCAGCATTTGGCCCATATCCCTCTAAACACTTTCTATTCATGTGCATCCAGATGCCTTTTAAATGTTGTAATTTTACCAGCCTCCACCACTTCCTATGGCAGCTCATTCCATACAATGCACCTCCCTCTGCGTGACAAGGTTGCCCTTTGAGTCCCTTTATTAATATCTTTCCCTTCACCTTAAACCTAGCCCCTTTAGTTTGAATACGCCCACCCCGAGAAAAAGACATTGGCTATTCACCCTATTCATGTCCCTCATGATTTTATAAACTATTGTAAGGTCAACCCTCAGCCTCTGACCATCCAGCCTCTCCCTATAACTCAAAACGTCCAACCCAGGCAACATCCTTGTAAATCTTTTCTTTAGCTTTTCGCATTCAACAAGACCTTTCCTACAGCAGTAGGAACAGAATTGAATGCGGTATTCCAAAAGTGGCCTAACCAACATCCTGTACAACCGCAACATGGCATCCCAAATCCTACATTCAATGCACTGATCAATAAAGGCAAATATACCAAACACCCTCTTCGCTATCCTGTCTACCTGCGATTCCACTCTCAAGGAACTATGAACCTGCACCCCAAGTTCTTTGTTCAGCAACATTCTCCTGGACCCTACTGTCAACTGTACAAGTCCTGCCCTGAAAAGCCTTACCAAAATGCAACAGCTCACATGTATCTAAGTTAAACTCAATCTGCCATTCCTCGGCCCATCGGCCAGTCTGAACAAGGTGCCATTGTATTCAGATAACCACCTTCACTGTCCACTACACCACCAATTTTGGTATCATCTGCAAACATACTAACTATTCCTTCTATATTCACATCCAAATCATTTACATAAATGATAAAAAGCAATGAACCCAGCACCGATCCTTACAGCATACCGCTGGTCACAGGCCTCCAGTCCAAAAAACCCTCCATCACCAAGCTCTTTCATTATTTCAAGCCAATTTTGTATCCAAATGGCTAGTTCTCCCTGGATTCCACGTGATCTAACCTTGCTAACCAGCCTACCATGAGGAACCTTGCCTATATAGACTTCAGCAAGGCGTTCGACAATGTTCACTACTTTGCCTTCAACCACCACCTTTGTCACTTCAAAAACTCAAATCAAGTTAGCGAGAAACGATTTCCCATGCATCTTAGAACCATGCTGACTACCTCTAATCAGCCCTTGCCTTTCCAATACACCATTGATGTCAGGCTCTCCGATCTATAGTTCCCTGACATTTCCTTACCACCTTTCTTAAATAATGGCACCACGTTAGCCAACCTCCATTCTTCTGGCACCTCACTTGTTGCTATCGATGAAATAAATATTTCAGCCATTGGCCCAGCAATTTCTTCCCTACCTTCCCACGAAGTTCTTGAGATACTTGATCAGTTCCCAGGGATTTATCTACCTTTATGCATCTTAAGATGCCCAGCATCACCTCCTCTGTAACATAGACACTTTGCAAGATATCACCATTTATTTCTCCAAGTTCTCTAGCTTCCATATCCTTCTCCACAGTAAATACTGATGTGAAATACTCATTTAGTCTCTCCCCCATCTCCAGCAGTTCCAAACAGATGGCCCGGTTGACCTTTAAGGGGCATTATTCTCTCCCTAGTTACTCTTTTGATGTTAATATATTTGTAGAATCTCTTTGTATTCCTCCTAAAACTCTGCCAAAACGCTCTCATGTCCATTTTTACCCTCCTGATTTCCCTCCAGTATACTTCGACTGCCCTTGTACTCCTCCAGGGATTCACTCAATCCCAACTGTCTATATGTGACGTGTGCCTCCTTTTTCTTGACCACAGCGTGAATTTCTCTAGTCATCCAACACTGCCTACATCGATCAGCTTTGCCCTTCAGACCAACTGGACTCTCATTTCTCAAGGCCTCCCACTTTCCAACCACCTCTACCCGAGAACAGCTTCTCCCAATCAACTTTTGGAAGTTCTTAACTAATACTGCCTAAATTAGCCTTCCTCCATTTAGAACTTTAACGTTTTGATCAGTTCTATTCTTTTCCATAATTATAACTGGTTTTAAAATAATTATGATCATTGACCCCAAAATGCACCCCCGCGGCCAACTGGCATCTCAGTCACTTGCCCTGCCATATTTCCGAAGAGACAGTCAAGTTTTGCTCCTTCTCTAGTAGGTTCATCCACATAGTGAATAAGAAAATTTTCTTGGACACACTTAAAATCCTCTATATCCAAGCCCTTAACACCACAGCAGTCCCAGTCTATGTTTGGAAAGTTAAAATCCCCTACCATTACAACCCTATCATTCTTATAGATATCGGAGATCTCCTTAAACATTTGCTTCAATTTCCTGCTGACTATTGGGGAACTATAGTACAATCCCAATAAGATGATCATCCCTTTCTTATTTCTCACTTCCACCCAAATAACTTCATTGGATGTATTCCCAGGAACGTTCTTCCCAAGTACAGTCGTAATGTTATCCCTAACCAAAAATGCCATTCCCCCTCCTCTCTCGCTCCCCTTTCTATCCTTCCTATTGAATCTGTACTCTAGAACATTAAGTTGCTGTTGCTGCCCTTCCCTGAGCTACATTTCTGTAATAGCTATGATATCCCAGTCCCATGTTCCCAACCATGGCTCGAGTTCATCTGCCTTATTTGTCAGGCCTCTTGCATTGAAGTAAACACAGTTTAATATATCAATTATTAATAAATTGGTAATGCCATTTGTATATACAGAATACAAGTTTACAGGTAAGAGTACATCCAACTCATCTGAAATAAGAATTGAAAAATGTATTAAACTCTGTACATTTAACAATTGTTGGCAATATAGCTTACCTCAGCGAAAAGTAAAAACATATCTGTTACTACATCACAAATTGGCAATTTCAAATAATGAGCAAAAGTCTCCAGAGTTGTCATTCCTCCTTTCACTTTTTTGGCACTTTCTGCAAGTTCATCTAGTTCTTTTTCAATTTTATCAGGCTTCAAACTGAAATTATAATAAGAACATTATGATCATTAGTCAATTTCAAAGTTCTAAGACAGTTAGTGACATTGTCTTAACAAGAAAATGCTATCAGCTATCATAAGTTTACCAAAATTAAACTATATTTGTAAATATTCAAGTGTGGTCCTTATACTAATCTTTTAAAGGTTTCAAATTAAATCACATTTTGAATAGCCTGCAGTTTCTTAGTGATGTAAAATTGATCTGGGAATGAACACTTAATGAATGTACACTTAATTCAATGCTTCATTTTAGGGCATAATTTGTATGAAAGGGAGACTATCAGTGAGCATTGTGCTTTCATGAAAAAAAGCTCAATTTTTTTCAAAAAATGTGTTCTCAATTCCTAGTCAGTGTTGAATTACAAGCTTGAGTAGCTGGTATGGGAAGGGGGATGCAAGGAAGACTGCAGTCTCCTTGTAGAAGCAGAAAGTGGAAACTCAGAATTCACAAGAAAATCAGCTTTTCAGGGATACAAGGGAGCGCTCTAGCAAACTATGACTTTTAAGAAAATGACCAATGAATTAGATTGAAGTGCTCACTGGGAATGTGTCAGAAGTGCAGGGAGAGAGACCAAGGTGTGATCTGGTGATTAGGTTTGCATCAAAGAGACAGGTGAAAATTACTGGCATCACTGAAGCCTCAGTAAAGAGTAAGATTTTATGGTTGTAGTTAATAAGTTCACAATTCTAGGCAGATATGCAGAGAGAATCAGTGATTTATTTGTTGACACAGTCTGTAGGAGCAATGTGGGTGGCTGAAGCAAGACAAAGAAATTTGGTGCTAAGAAAGCAATGAGAAATAGCTTGACGGCTCTTCACAGAATCCAGAAGGGCACAATGCATAGCTGTGGCTTCACGCATATGTCAATCACCAGGAGAATCGTGTGCCAGGGTCTTGTAATGGCAATGGATAGACAGTATAGGCAAAGGATCTGCCAGGCAAGTAATAAAAAGATGAGCATGGTTGACTTGCAGACAGTGTAAATGGACAAATCTGCAATAAAAGGTTCAGATAGACAGCTAATGTAAAACAAGGGACAGACTATAAACGCGTACCTTACTGAAAGCTCACCAGCGGAGACAGACAGTTGAGGAGGATTATGGAGCTGAACCTCAACCAGGCAGGTTTTCCTGGACCCCTCTGTCTCCATATCGGGCAACCACCTAGAAACCGATATTCATTTCAAGCCCACCGACTCCCACAGCTACCTAGAATACTCCTCCTCCCACCCACCTTCCTGCAAAAATGCTATCCCCTATTCCAAATTCCTTCGCCTCCGCCGCATCTGCTCCCAGGATGAGGCATTCCACTCCCGTACATCTCAGTTGTCCTCGTTTTTCAAGGACCGTAACTTCCCCTCCTCGGTGGTCGAGAACGCCCTCAACCGTGTCTCCCACATCTCCCGCACCTCATCCCTCACACCCCGTCCACGCAATAAAAACCAAAAAAGAATCCCCCTCGTCCTCACGTACCACCCCACCAACCTCCGGATCCAACGCATCATCCTCCGACACTTCCGCCATCTGCAATCCGACCCCACCACCAAAGACATCTTTCCCTCCCCACCTTTATCTGCTTTCCGGAGGGACAACTCTCTCCGTGACTCCCTTGTCCGCTCCACACTCCCCTCCAGCTCCACCACACCCGGCACTCTTCCCTGCAACCGCAGGAAGTGCTACACCTGCCCCCATACCTCCTCCCTCACCCCCATTCCAGGCCCCAAGAAGACTTTCCACATCAAGCAGATGTTCACCTGCACATCTGCCAATGCGGTATACTGCATCCGCTGTACCCGGTGTGGCTTCCTCTACATCGGGGAAACCAAGCGGAGTCTCGGGGACCGCTTTGCAGAACACTTACGCTCGGTTCGCAACAAACAACTGCACCTCCCAGTCGCAAACCATTTCAACTCCCCCTCCCATTCCTCAGACGACATGTCCATCCTGGGCCTCCTGCAGTGCCACAACGATGCCACCCGAAGGTTGCAGGAACAGCAACTCATATTCCGCTTGGGAACCCTGCAGCCCAATGGTATCAATGTGGATTTCACAAGTTTCAAAATCTCCCCTCCCCCCACCGCATCCCAAAACCAGTCCAGCTCATCCCTGCCTCCCTAACCTGTTCTTCCTCCCACCTATCCCCTCCTCCCACCTCAAGCCGCACTTCCATCTCCTACCGACCAACCTCATCCCACCCCCTTGACCTGTCCGTCCTCCCTGGACTGACCTATCCCCTTCCTAACTCCCTACCTACACTCACCTTTCCTGGCCCCATCCCCGCCTCTTCGACCTGTTTGTTTCCTCTCCACCTATCCTCTCCTCTATCCCTCTTCTATCCGCCTCCCACTCTCTCCCTATTTATTTCAAAACCCCCTTCCCCTCCCCCTTTTCTGATGAAGGGTCTAGGCCCGAAACGTCAGCCTCTCTGCTCCTATGATGCTGCTTGGCCTGCTGTGTTCATCCAGCCCTGCACCTTGTTGTCTAGGTTTAACTAAGGGTCCAGGAAAGATGCATCATTACTTCCTATGTCTGAAATACAGGCAGGTAGGTCTAATGTTGGAACAGAGTAATGAGGTGGAATGTGAGTGAAACTCAGGAACCAAAAAACAGTGAAGTTCAAGAATTGGGTGAGCAAGAGATAAATCACAGGATCAGTGCAGATGAAGAAGCTAGTAAGCAGCAGTAATAGTGTGAGATGCTAACACGCTAGCAAAACGTGGCAGAAGCTCTTGACGATGAGTACCGAAAGCAACGATGGGAACCAGGTGTAAAACAGCAGTCAGCCTGTAAGGAACAGCAACTGCAGCAAAATGTGAACCAGCTGGATCAGAGTAAAGTTCACTCAGTAGAGCAAGAAAAAAATCCTAAATCAGGAACAGCAAGTAAATTCACAAAGGCAGGTCAAAAAAGGAATTCAGAGTTCTTTTTTAAACCCATCCGTATAATTTCTTCAATATACTTTTCCTATGTTAACATTTTTAAGAAATAGATTTTTTTTTGTATTTTGGGAACATGAGCAATAACCAGTAGAAGGCATAGCACCCTGTTCAAACATATTTTGACAACATAAATATGATACTACTGCTAAGTGAATGCTTGGTTCATTCATTTCCCAATGTTACCAGTTAAAAGTAAAAGCTTTCTTTTTCAATCCTGAATGGAACTGACATAGACTACTCTTTAGAACCATTAAAAATAATAAATTGTATGGAAAAAGTGATTTGCATGCTAAGTGTAATCTGGAAAACAGAACTAAAATAAACTGGTGATCACTGCCATAGGTGCAAATTATAAATGGCAAATCTTGACTAGCATTTTGGGGAACTAATAAATACATGTTTGGACTTCTAACTAGGTTAGTATAGTCATAAAATCTAAAAAGAATTCAACTAGATGCTGCACCACAGAGATTAAAGGGTGTTTCTTAATGGAGTAACTAAAATGGGCTAAATGACATTGTCTACATAATCCACTGATCACTGTCATGACATATCCTGACATTTTCTGTAAAAAGTAAAGATCACCTCCAAGGAAGTACAATTTGTATTCGCATGGGCTGTAGAACCCAAGTCTGATGTTTCTTCTTCAAGTACTGAAATTACTTTTAAAAAAATACCCAAAAGGTCACCTTTCACAAGCATTTAGTAATCAGTACCTCCGACTGTATTTATTTTGTATCAAGATGCTAATAATCAGCATTCATTGTAAGCTGATATGTAGATCATTTTTACATGCCTTAGTGTAAACTGAAATGCATATACTGTGCAAAAACTACATTATACACCAAATCTGACGATTGTGGAAGGAATAGATAAAAACAGAGATATCGCACAACTCGAGCTTAATGCAAACAAGCATGTTTTTAAACATAAGCAAACTGGGCTAGACATGCAAACTATTGAATCAATTCCTTCTGTTTTTTTAAAAAGAAGAAAAAACAGGAATGTCTATCAACACAGTAGTGTCTATATCAAAATTGCACTCAGATTTGCACAAGTAACATTTTTACACAAATACATGCCGTTCATCATGACTCCACTGCTTGAGCACCAAGGTCACAGTATATAAAATACCTTCGAGATTAATCCATTCTCAGCGGAAAAATTGATGAAAAGTAAACTGAAATTCTTAGCTGTGTTACTGATTAAAATAGTGGTTGGTCAAGAGATTGGACAGAATTTAAAACCTGCAAAGATGACTAAAAAATGATAGATTAATTAAAGTACAAAGAAAACTAGCCATCAATACCAAAAAGAATTACACAAGGTACCAAAAAGGGGGGGATAAAGTAATAAAAACCAAAAGAACTGCGGATGCTGTAAATCAGGAACAAAAACAAAGTTGCTGGAAAAGCTCAGCAGGTCTGGCAGCATCTGTGAAGGAGAAAACAGAGTTAACGTTTTGGGTCCGGTGACCCTTCCTCAGAACTGTAACGTCTGTGTGGGTCCTCCAGAATGCTTGTTTGAGTAACAAATAATAGAAAGCAAGGAAACAGCAGAAGCAACGAACAGATATTTCTTCAGAAGATACAAAATCCATCCCCCAGAAATATCTGGAAATCAAGAGGTGAAAGGAAATGTAAAGCAATTAAAATGAGCAGGGAAGAGTACTGAAAAAGGTGGTTACCAGGACTTGATATAACACAAGGATGATGCCTAAATGAAGTAGCTGCATTAGTTTTAATTTTCCAGAATTCCTTTGATTCTAGAACAGTCACGCCAGACTGGGAAACTGAGAGTGTACCTTCTCTATTCAAGAAAGGAAGGAGACAGAAAGCAGGTTACTGCAAGCTGTTAGTCTAATCGCTGTCAAAGGGAAAACACTACAATTGATTATTGCGGTGGTAAGGCTCTTAGAAAATCTTAATTATGTAGAGTCAGGATGATTTTGTTAAAAGGGATATCATATCGGCATAATTTATTACAGTTCTTTCAGGAAGTAACAAGCCACATGAATGAAAGGGTAAACTATCTGCTCCTATGATGCTGCTTGGCCTGCTGTGTTCATCCAGCCCTGCACCTTGTTGTCACAGATGTGGTGTACTTGGTTTATTTACCAAAAGTCATTTCATAAGATACCACATCAAATACTACCATGTAAAGAAAGAGCTCTTGATACACAGGGTAACATATCAGAAAGATTGGCTGGCCAAAAGGAAGTGGACAGTAGGAATAAATGTGTCATTTCTGGGTTGGCAAGCTGTGACCAGTGGAGTGCCAACTGGTTAGTGCTGAAGAAAAATTATTTACAATCTATATAAATGATATGGAACAAGGAATAGATTGTATGGTTGTTAAATGTGATGAAAGGTAGGTAGGAAAGTACATTGCAAGGAGGAGACGAACCTACTAAAGGAATTAGATAATTTGAGTGGGCAAAAAATTAGCAGATGGAGTAGAATGTGGAAAAATGTGAACTCTTTCACTTTGGCAGAAAGATTCGGAAAAACAATATGTACTGTTGCAAGGAGAATACAGTATGAAGTAGAAAATGTTTTGGTACAATGTTTGCCAGGCCACGTTAAATATGTTGTACAATTTTGGTCTCCTCACTCTAGAAAGAATATAGCAACTTTAAAAGCAGTTCAGAAAATGTTCACTTGACTCTCTGGAACAAAGATTCGACAGTTGGGGTCTGCATCTAATGGAATTTAGGAAATCTCACTGAAACATCTTGATCCTTAGGGGCATTAACAGGGTGCCTACTGAGAGAACATTTCCCATTAGAGGGAAGGCTGATCAAGCGGACAAAATTAGAAAATAAGGCAGGAGGAACATACAGGTTGACTTTCTTGTTCCTCTGATGCTGCCTGACCTGCTGTGTTCCTCCAATTCCACACTGTGCTGACTGACTCCAGCACTTGCAGCTCTTGCTATCATCGAAAATAAGGCTCTCCATTTTAAGACAGGGAAGAAATTTTTTTTTCAAGAAACTCAGAGGATCATAGGTCTGTGAAATTCTCCAAAGAGCAGTGGAGACAGGTCATTGAATATTTAAATTGAGGTTTCTGGATTAACAACAGAGTCAAAGGGTATAAGTGGTAGACATGAAAAATTGAACTGAGGCCATAATCACATCAGTTATGACCTTCGCAAATGGAGGAGCAACCTCAAGGGCCTGAGTTGCCGACTCCTGCCCCTAATTGGTATACTCATGTTTCTGAAAGATTACTTTTAAGATGTCTATAGTTAATGGATTTTTAAAAATATAAAGCTTTTACAAAATAACCAGTTCACTGTCAGGACATTCTTCAGCATCTTGCATTTCTACATGATATCTGCCCAGTTAAGAGCTTAATTTGGCAGAATCAAGTCAAATTTTAAACACAAGTCAGTTCAGCCCATACTTACGTTCCCTTTCCCCAACCTCCCTTCTACATCCTTGCAATCTTTCAAGCCAAAACCTTCAAAGTCTTCATCCAAATCAAACAAAATTGAGCATGCCCATAGGTCAGCAAGTATGACTTTCCACCAAAAGTATTTGCTTGGGATGCATGAATACATTGCACCCAGATTCCCAGCCACAGTCAAATGCAAATGTTACAAATTTCCCGACGAGCAGTTACTTAAAACATGTGATCTGCTGCTGCAGAAACATCAGCTAATTTGATTTAATTGGGAAAAGTAGTAAAGGCAACATAGGGAAAACTGTCCTTTTGCAAGTGGTTAGGCTCTGTAATGCACTGCCTGAAAAAGTAGCGGCAGCAGATTCAGTCATGGTTTGTCAAAGAGAATCAGACCATTATCTGAAAAGGAAATACTTGCAGTGTCACAGGGGTTTGAAGGGTGGGGTAGAATGGAGTGGAACTTGGTACTAGGATAATTGCTCCTGCAATGTGCCAGTATAAGCATTAGCAGAATGAGTAAAATTCAGTCGGAGGCCATTCTCTGAACGCCATCAACTTAAAGTGAAAAGTTTTAAAGCAGACCATTTCTCATAATGCCATTTATGTTACTGTATTATGTTGCTTGATTGCACTGATTTAAATACATTTTATATTGCTTTTTATTTCAATCCCTTTAGCAATGAAGGGTAAAATTCCATTTGCCTTCCTAATTACTTGTTGTACCTGCAGACCTACCTTCTGTGATTCATGCACAAGGACACCCAGGTCCCTCTGCATAGCATAGTAGTTGAACATTTGTGAATAAATCTAACACATTCAATTTGAATGGATCATAACAGGTCAGGTGTTAAATAATTAAAAGACAGACTGACTATCACAACTAATTCTAGAAAAGCGATATGGCTGAATTTAAACAGCAAGAATTGTGTTTCCTTTCTTTTAGTTACCATTATAAATAAAAAGTAAAACAGAACCTACTCGAGTTTTCTGGCAAGTTTTGCAAATTCTAGTAGACAGGTATCCACAGGTAGCTTCAGCTGGCTGTCAGACATTACAAGCTGACAATCTTCAAATGTGTAGTCAGTCACAGGAACACCAAGAGCGCTAAAAGGAACAGGTTCAAAAAAAAACTTATAGTACATTACTACATTATAGACTTGGGTTAAAGCTAGGCAGCGTTAGATGTAAATTCTGAGTGTTTTTGTACAAAGCAATGAACTACAATGAATAACCTCTATAAATTAGCAATAATTACAAAAATTAAAAAGTTTGCCCATTCCCTTTTATTAAGGAATACAGCAACATGGATTACCTCAAAAAAAAATGATATGAAGCAGCATTTAAAAAATACACTGTACGTTAAGCAGAGAGATGGCGAGATTAGGTATCTACCATAAAACATGAGAAACATAGACTCACACTCCTGTACTCGATTTTATTATGTTTAATGGAGGTTGAACAGTCCTTCATAGAGGGGGTCTCTGGCTGCTCTGTTACACAAGATATTCTCAGACAAAAGTTTACGCTGATTACAACTTATTCTTGTGTTCTGTTAAGATCACAAATTCATGCTGCTGATACTGGTTTCAATCAAAGTGAATCTAAGTGGAACTGTATGCACTCATTATATATGCATGTCAAACCGCACACTCCATGTGTTATCGTAATTGCTGGTCTAGATCTCAGATCAGATAACTTTGCAAGAACTCTTTACCATTAATACCAGGGGGAGGTGATGGCCTAGTGGTATTATCACTGGACTGTTAATCCAGAGACCCAGATAACATCTGGGGACCCGGGTTCAAATCCCACCTCAGCAGATGGTGGAATTTGAATTCAATAAAATAACTGGAATTAAGAATCTAATGATGACCATGAATCCATTGTCAATTGTCGGAAAAACTAATGCCCTTTAGGGAAGGAAACTGCTAGCCTCACCTGGTCTGGCCTACATGCGACTCCAGACCCACAGCAATGTGGTTGACACTGAACTGCTCTCTAGGCAATTAGGGGTGGGCAATAAATGCTGCCGAGCCAGCAATGCCCACATCCTGTTCATGAATAAAGGAATAAAATACATTTTTCCAGGGTGGAATCATTTTTCTTCAAGGCTACAAAGTAAACACTCGATTCAGGATAGAGTTTAATCATCTATTTCAGGTTGGCAGAAGTGCATAAGGATTTTAAAAGTCCAAGTGTATAACTTCTGCAATGCAAGTTAGTAAATAAAAATGTTAAATAGTTTGCATTATTTTTTGAAAAATTGGGTGGGTCAGTGCTGCTTTTCTGCTTTAAATTCATTCAAGAGCTCACATTAAAATACTAAAAAAAAAAGTATGCCTAAAAGGAGCTTTAGTTTTTATCCAATGGCTTGGAAGACTGAATACACACTCCTTGAACTGACCTCTCAGGGGATATGAGATCCGAGCCACAAAAAAATCTTTTTTGACGCTCCCGATTGTCTGCATTGGTATTGGGGACTAAAATAATGGATATGTTGATTACATTACATTAAGTTTTGCGTTAATTATTATTATACTTACTTTGCCATTACCTTTCTAACATTATTTGCATACAAAATAGGGTTTCTCTTTTCCTCCGCAGAAGGTGTATATACTGGCAAAAACTGAAAACAAAATTAATATAGCTCTTAAAAACTGCTTTTGACAATGAACCAGATTATTTCAAATAACTATATACAGAATGGTGAAATATTCTTAATAAGATCAACTTATAATGCAAATTAAACTTAATGAATCTTTTAATCCAAACTATTTGCTTCCAAATTCTACAATATCAAGCATTTTAGGAGAAATAAATCGGAGTTACTAGAGTTATTTGACTCATCCCGAAATATTATTGTCAAAAGTTCCATTAGGCATCATGGCAGAGATTTTCCATGGGCAACCTAAGTGGCCATGTTCAACGGCAACAGACACACTAGGACTTGAATCAGTAAGCTTTAATAAACTATCCCTAAAACCTTTTATGAATTCCTGATTAAGAATTGGACTCCAGTCAGTCTTTGGACTTGTTAGCTTGTCAGTGAATCACAGATGGCAATGATAAATTTCCAGCTCACCAAAATATACCATCAATTACAGAACTACAGCTTCTTGGCCCTGGTAATTGTTGTTGGGGGCTTAATCTTCAAGGAATTCATGGGCAAGAAGGCAGGTCTTTTTCTTTAGAGTCTTGCAGTGATAGTCAGAGGGTTGAAAGGAAGAACAGGGTACTGTTTTCAGTGGCCACCCTCTTACACCAATTGATACCCCGAATGACCCCAGATTGTGGCATATAGTGTCTCATCCCCAGCTGGCAGGCACGTAGCTCTGGCTTCCCAGTCAAGAAAAGTAGTTATTTTCTCACCTACTGGGAAGGCAGATTACTGAGTCACTGAGGCCACAGCACTGGATGGGAAGGATCCAAATGTCATGGTCCATACAGGCATCAAATTAAGCAGAAAAGAGGTGGTTCTGCATAGTCAGTATGAGCATCTACGTGAAATGAAGTAGAACTACAAAGGTCAAAATCTCTGCATTGTTATTGCCTGAGCAATGTAAAAACTGGCAAAGGTAAAATCAGGTTACAGAGATGGATACATGACTTGAAAGACTGGTGCAGAAGTGGGTTAAAGCTCATGGAGGACTAGCATCAGTATTAGGTCAGTTCTTTGGAGAGTTAATGCAGACTCGATGGATCGAAAGGCCTCTTTCTACGATTCAACAATCATGGGCGATTTTACTTTGTACAGACTGGAAAAATTAGTTGGGTAAAGACAGCCTAAATGAGGAACTCAAAAATGTTTTCAGTATAGTTCCTTAAAATTGCCAGTTTTGGAACCGACCAGAGAGCAGACAATAGAGGACCTGATATCCTGAACTGAAATAGGATGAATTAATGATCTCAAAGTGAATCAGCCCCTAGATAACAGCAACCATATTATTGAATAATATATTCAGTTTGAGATTTTAAGGATTTACAGAAGAGTAATTATGAGGGCATGAAAACAGTGAATAGGTGCAACAAGTTCAGGAGAAGGTCAGTAGAGATGCAATGGGGACTTAAGATATTTTCCAAAAAAGTAAAAAAAAATTACGAGGGTTGGCCCTGCCCAAAAAAAAGCACATAATTGTGCAAATACAAATGGTAGCTCAAACTGGTGAAAAATATATACAAAGAATGACCTAAAAAACAAAAATTAGAAAGCTAGCCAGAAATATAAACAGATAATACGTTTGTGAATATTTAAGAAGAGTTAGCCAAATGAGCATTAATTCTATAGAAAGTGAGTCTGGAGAATTAATAATGGATTATAAAGAGCTGGCAGGTGACAAGACAAGGTGACAACAGACAATTTGCATTCATCCTCACTTTAGGGGTTACGATATTCCAGATGCAGCAATAAATCAGGAAATGGAAGGGAGGGAGGAACATCAGAAAATCACCACTGCCAAAGAAATGATACTGAGCAAATTATCAGAGCCTAAGTTGACATGTGCCTAGGTGCTAATGGACTTCATCTTGGGGCTTTAAAAAAAGTGGCTAGTGCAATGGTGCATTTGTTTTAATTTTCTGAAAGTCCCTTGATTTGGGGAGGTCCCATTAGATTGCAAATTAGTGAATGTCACTCCTTTGTTTGAAAAAGAGCCAGGGAGAAAGCAGAAACAACAGGCCAGTTAGTTTAATATCTGCCAGAGGGTAAAATGCTGGAAACTATTATTAAAATAAGTTACAGTAGGCCAGTTGGAATAGTTAAAGGTAATCAGGCAGAGTCAACATAAGCTTTAGAGAAAAATCATTTTTGACTAATCTATTGGATCTCCTTGTGTTGGTAACACATGCTGTAGATTAAAGCGAACTGATGGACGTGCAGTACTTAGATTTCCAGAAGCCGTTTGATTGAATGCCTCGAAGATTATTGCAAAAAAGCACATATCATTGAGGGTAGCATATTTGTACGAATAGAAGATTGGCTGGCAACATGAAGGAGATAGTAGGTATAAGTGGATCGTTTCCAGGTTAGCAAGATGTGACAAGTGGTGTGTCAGAGGTTGGTGCTGGGACTTTAAATGTTTATAACTTACAAAAATGACTTGCATGAATGTTTGGAAGGAGAGGAAAAAAGCTGTGAACAGGACATAAGAATGCCACAGAGGGATATTGATAGGTTAAGTGAGAGGGCAAAAATCCGACAGAGTATAATGTGAGAAAGGATGCAACATTGGCACAAGGAATGGAAAGGAAGCATATTATCCAAATGGTCAGAGACTGCAGAACTCCAAGACAGAGGGATCGGGTGCCCTAACAAATGAATCATAAAAAGGTTAGTATGGAGGTATAGTAGACAGCAGAATCATTTATCATGAGGGGAGCTGAATATGAAATATAGCAGGTTATGCTTCAACATACAAGGCACTGATGATATCACATCTGGAGTACAGTATTGGCTGTCTTATTTAAGGATGGATGTAAATTTATTGGAAGCAGTTCACAGAAGATTACTAGATTAATAAATGGAATGTGTGGACTATCTTATGAGGAGAAGTTGAATAGGCTAGGCTTATAGTAGCTGGAGAATAAGGCGACTTAACTGCAAACAAGATCTTGAGGGGTCTTGACAGGGTAGATTTAGAGAGTGTTTCCTCTCATAAGAGAATCTATAATTTAGGGGTTACTGTTTAAAAATCAGGGAGTCATCCATTTAAAGCAGATGAGATTTTTTTTGAGTCTTAAACTCTCCTCCTGAGAAGGTGGGGGAAGCAGAGTCCTTGACTAATTTTAAGACAGTAGTAGTAGTAGATTCTCATTAAGCAAGGGCATTAAATGTTATCAGGGTAGGCAGGAATGCAGTTGAGCTCTCCATCAGATCAGCCCATGATCTTCGTAAATGGCAGAGCAGACTCAGCTAAATAGCCCATTTCTCCTTCTTGCTCATATGTATATTTGGATATGAAGTGGCAACTAATTAACCACTCAAGGGCCTTAATTGCTGATGAATTGGAGAAGATTGTGTATAGAACTCCTCACTCAGCACCCAACCGATAAGGTGGCAAGAAGTGGGCGAGTCTTTCTCCAAAGCTAATGCACCCAATTATTTCCCCTTTTCGCTACCTCTAAGGAGATAAAATTGAACCCTGTGTATTGCATTGAAACCATCAGTTCATGCAGAGGAACCTGTGAAAACAATCATGGGAATTCTACAAGCTGAGTTATTAAACATTCCTAATGCACTTGTGATATTTACTAAATTAGTCAATTTAAAAATAACTACATTCACAGGGTGTACTGAAGCATTTGCAATTTAAAACCTTTTCAATTTTCAAAGTTTTAATTGTCTGGTGTGTACCTACCAACAGCAATTTGGTTAAAGATGATGAATATATTCTTCCATTATTCTCTAGCATTGTGATAAAGGGAAAATTTATATTCTAAACAGCTTTTATCCATTTTTATAGCAGTACGCATCAGAATTTATAACTTAAGTGTTTAGCATGTTGCAATTCAAAAGTGAAAATGTAACAAAATGAATTTTCCATTTGCACAACTGGGAAATTTTAATGGCTGTAATAGCCATCTTAAACATCTTTAAAAACAGCCTTGAGATAGTGTACAAAATTTTAGTTTGGCAAGTAAAAAGCTCTTCTGATTTAAATCTAATTGCCCTTGTTTGTTAGGAATGTATATGTAAAAAAAATTTAGTTGAATTAAGGAACGGGCACCAAAGCTAAAATGATTTGATGATTCTGGTACTTTTGCTTAAAAAAAAAAATTCCTCAAATTTGGAAAGGAACAGAAAGAAACAATATCGGAAACTGGTCTGTGGTTGAAATTCTTAATGCAGAACGGGATGAGAGAGAGATGACAAGTGTCAGGAAATTCCCACTAGATCTATTTGTTCAGCGATTTTCCATCTATATTATTTTGAAAAGGAAACTACATAAATAACATTTAATGTTCAATCAACTTTGCTAGAATGTATAACTCAGACTTGACTGATTCATCATTTCCAGGTAGGCGTTTTTAAAAAATCTAACCCAAATAATAAAATGAACGTAAAGGTTATAGTCCTCCAAACGGCATAAGAAAAACTAACCTCTATTTCCACATCATTGTGTATCTGGCACAACGTAAGCCATAGGATTTTTAACCTGAGGAATAAAATTGCATAAAAAGTGATACTAATCAGTAACCTGAATATAAGTAGTCATTTGATAGTACAAAACTTGCGTACTGCTGAATAGAAAATACTTTGTCAAAACCAATTGTCTTGTACGGATTAGGCCAGCGCTTGCAGTAGGACATATTAGCATGTACTGGAGGCCACGTGTATTAATGTACAGGGGACTTGGCAGGCAGAAATAACACAAACATACACTGTGCCTGATGAATGCAACAAAATGGAGGATTGCCATTCACTGGCTCATTTCTCAAGGGAATACCCTGACTAGAAAGTCAACCTGTACTGGTTAAAACTTGAACAACACTTCACTGTTAATTGTCAGTCACCATTAAATGGTGCACTCTCCCAGGCAATGACCCAGCAGAGTCCACTTGCCAAGCAATCAGAAGGCTCCTCTCATACAGTTCAAATGTTGCTTTTCATTTACTTTGATACTTCTCGCAATTTGTCCTGCTAAGTGCAAGACAAAATTTGTCTTTTTGAGCAATAACCAGAATATCTTAAATCATGAATTTCTGTAACATGTTTACAAGATACAAAGGTATACCATGATATACCACAGTAGCACTTGCTTCAACTATTACACCGATCTCAAATTATGCTCCTGCTTAAAGACCTCATCTTCAATAACTTCCAACTTAAAAAAAACTTAGCTTAAAATGTGTTTGATTAAAAAACAACTATTTTCCTTCTGTTCGATTTTATAAATCAACTTTGTTTCTTTAAATGTTCACAAGACCTAGGTTACATGCTATCATGAATAAATATTAAGCCCATCGATAAGCCCTCTTTATTTTCCTTCAAGTGACACTGAATCCCAAACTCTGCCATGGCAAAGCAAACTTAGCAGCCCATATAGTCCAAATAATCCTTCTTCAGCAACCTGTCTCAACTCTCAAGCGTATCTTTATTTTCTTGAGCTCTACACATTTCTGCCCTGTTTGGATTTTGTAATGATGCATCATTTTATGATGTCAGAGTCATAGAGGCATACAACACAGAAACTAGCCCTTCTGCCCAACTCATCCATGCTGACCAGATTGCCTTAGCTGAAGTAGACCCATTTGCCTGTGTTTTGCCCATATCCCTCTAAACCCTTCCTATACACATCCCTGTCCAAATGTCTTTTAAATTTTGTAATTGTATCTGCCCCATCTACTTCCACTGGCAGCTTGTTCCACGTACACATCGTCCTCTGTGTGAAAAAGTTGCCCCTCAGGTTGCTTTTAACATCTTTCTCCTCTCACCTTAAACTTATGCCCACTAGTATTTGACTCCCCCTCCCCTGGGGAAAAGACCTTGGCTGTTAAAACTATCCACACCCATGATTATTTTATAAACCTCTACAATGCCACCCTCAACATCCAAACTCCAGGAAAAACGTCCCAACCTATCCAACCTCTCCTTATAACTCAAACCTTCCAGTCTCAGTAACATCCTTGTAAATCTTTTTTGCACGCTTTCCACTTTAATGACATCTTTCCGACAGCAGGGTGACCAGAATTGTATGCAGTACTCAAAATATGGCCTTGCCAATATCTTGTACAGCTGTAACATGATATCCCAATTCCAATACTCCATGCTCTGACCGATGAAGGCAAGCACGCCAAATGCCATTTTCCCCACCCTGTCCACCTATGATGCCACTTTCAAGGAACAATGTACCTGCACCAAGGTCTCTTTGACAACACTCCCCACGGCTCTACCATTAAATATGCAAGTCATGCCCGGACAGTCTTACCAAACTCCAGACACCACATTTATCTAAATTAAACTCCATCTGCCATTCCTCACCCCAGTTGATCAAGATCAAGATTACCTTCTTCACTGTCCACTACACCACAAATTTTGGTGTCATCCACAAACTTACTAACCGTGCCTCCTATATTCTCACTCAAATCATTTCTATAAGTGAACAGCAGACCTGGCACTAATCTATGCAGCACACTGCTGATCACAGGCCTCCAATTTGAACAACCCTCCAACACCAAGCCAATTTTGTATTCAACTGGCTAGTTCCCCCGGGTTCCATGTGATCTAATCATACTAACCAGTCTGTCACGCAGAAGCTCAAGAGCCTTGCTAACGTCCATGTGGACAATGTCTACCCCTCTGCCTTTATCTATCTTTTGTCACTTCCTCAAAAAAACTCAAAATTTGACAAACGTGATTTCTCATACACACAGCCATGCTGACTATCCCTAATCAGCCCTTACCTTTCCAAAGGCATATAGATCCTGTCTCTCAGAATCCCTTCTAACAACTTAACCACCACTGACTTTAGGCTCACTGGTCTATAGTTCCCTGGCTTTTCCTTACAATGTTTCTGAAGTAATGGCACAACATTAGCCACCCTCCAGTCTTCCAGCACCTTATCTGTGGCTGTCATTGACACAAATATCTCTGCTAGAGGCCCTGCAATTTCTTCCCTAGCTTCCCAAAGTCCTGGGAAATACTTTGAACATAGAACATTACAGCGCAGTACAGGCCCTTCGGCCCGCGATGTTGAAACCAATCTGAAGCCCATCTAACCTACACTATTCCATTATCATCCATATGTTTATCCAATGACCATTTAAATGTCCTTAAAGTTGGCGAGTCTACTACTGTTGCAGGCAGGGCATTCCACGCCCTTACTACTGAGTAAAGAACCTACCTCTGACATCTGTCCTATATTTATCACCCCTCAATTTAAAGCTATGTCCCCTTGCGCTAGCCATCACCATCCAAGGAAAAAGGCTCTCACTGTCCACTCTATCTAATCCTCCGATCATCTTGTATGTCTCTATTAAGTCACCTCTTAAACCTTCTTCTCTCTAACGAAAACAGCCTCAAGTCCCTCGGCCTTTCCTCAGAAGACCTTCCCTCCATACCAGGCAACATCCTGGTAAATCTCCTCTGCACCCTTTCCAATGCTTCCACATCCTTCCTATAATGCGGTGACCAGAACTGTACGCAATACTCCAAGTGCGGCTGCACCAGAGTTTTGTACAGCTGCAACATGACCTCATGGCTCCGAAACTCAATCCCTCTACCAATAAAAACTAACGCACCGTACGCCTTCTTAACAACCCTATCAACCTGGGTGGCAACTTTCAGTGATCTATGCACATGGACACCGAGATCTCTCTGCTCATCCACACTACCAAGAATCTTACCATTAGCCCAGTACTCTGTATTCCTGTTACTCCTTCCAAAGTGAATCACTTCACACTTTTCCGCATTAAACTCCATTTGCCACCTCTCAGCCCAACTCTGCAGCTTATGTATGTCCCTCTGTAACCTGCAACATCCTTCCGCACTATCCACAACTCCACCGACTTTAGTGCCATCCGCAAATTTACTAGCCTATCCTTCTACGCCCTCATCCAGGTCATTTATAAAAATGACAAAAAGCAGTGGCCCCAAAACAGATCCTTGCAGTACACCACTAGTAACTGAACTCCAGGATGAACATTTCCCCATTAACCACCACCTTCTGTCTTCTTACAGTTAGCCAATTTCTGATCCAAACCGCTAAATCACCCTCAATCCCATGTCTCCGTATTTTCTGCAATAGCCTACCGTGGGGAACCTTATCAAACGCTTTACTGAAATCCATATACACCACATCAACCGCTTTACCCTCATCCACCTGTTTGGTCACCTTCTCAAAGAACTCAATAAGGTTTGTGAGGCACGACCTACCCTTCACAAAACCGTGTTGACTATCCCTAATCAAATTATTCCTTTCTAGATGATTATAAATCCTATCTCTTATAATCCTTTCCAACACTTTACCCACAACCGAAGTAAGGCTCACTGGTCTATAATTACCAGGGTTGTCTCTACTCCCCTTCTTGAACAAGGGGACAACATTTGCTATCCTCCAGTCTTCTGGCACTATTCCTGTAGACAATGATGACATAAAGATCAAAGCCAAAGGCTCTGCAATCTCCTCCCTAGCTTCCCAGAGAATCCTAGGATAAATCCCATCCGGCCCAGGGGACTTATCTATTTTCACACTTTCCAGAATTGCTAACACCTTCTCCTTATGAACCTCAATCCCGTCTAGTCTAATAGCCTGTATCTCGGTATTCTCCTCGACAACATTGTCTTTTTCCTGTGTGAATACTGACAAAAAATATTCATTAAGCGCCTCTCCTATCTCTTCGGACTCCACGCACAACTTCCCACTACCGTCCTTGACTGGCCCTAATCTTACTCTAATCATTCTTTTATTCCTGACATACCTATAAGAAAGCTTTAGGGTTTTCCTTGATCCTACCTGCTAAAGACTTCTCATGTCCCCTCCTGGCTCTTCTTAGCTCTCTCTTTAGGCCCTTCCTGGCTAACTTGTAACTCTCAAGTGCCCTAACTGAGCCTTCACGCCTCATCTCTACGTAAGCCTCCTTCTTCCTCTTCACAAGAGATTCAACTTCTTTAGTAAACCACGGTTCCCTCGCTCGACC